TAATCAATAATTAATTAATATTTGTTAATGTTAATAATATTTAATTTTAAATAATATTTATTTATGATTAATAGTAATAAATAATTATTAATATTAATGAGAGTTATAATTGTAAAAAATGACAATAAACTACCAAAACGTTACTCCAAGTAGTGTTTCAACTTTCAATATGCTAGTTTATTTGCATCCAAACTTGTATTCAAAAAATTAGTTAGCTTATTTTTGCCAAATAATATCATAGTCTTTAAGTATCCGTTGTGAAAATGTATTTTTTTTCCTCTTTTAGATATAGTCTTGAATCTTTGAATCAAGTTGCACGCATTTTAACTAATTTTATTGTTTTTCGAAATTAATGACTAATAATTAAACCTTCAATAACCCTCAAGTTAATAGTCGAAAAACTTCCAATAAACCTGAATGCTGAACCGGTAGCAAATGAGTAGTGAATCGAAAACCAATTTAATTAAGTTACCCCTCATGTTTCGAATTTTATTATTGTAATGGAAGTATTATATGAAGACTCTGGTGCATCTTGGTGTACTTTATTATGATGAGAAGCAAACAAATTGCGTTTTAGAAGAAAATTGACCTGGTGCATCTTGGTGTACTTTATTAGTGTTGACCTTCAATTAAGATTGATCCGAAAATGAAATCTATTTCTATGCTTCTCATCGTAACTTCATTTCTCATTGTAACCCAACCCATTCTATGAAACCATAACAAAAATCAATTTAGAATTTAATACCATGTTAAAAGCTTGACCAAGATGTGTTTTTAATTTTCTTTTTAACATAGAATAGTTTATTTGTAACATTTGAAATTTATAAAGTTTAAGATATCACATATAAGACATAAAAAATGACTCGAAAACACATTAAACAAAATAAAAATCGATTCAAAACACGTTATATTTTCATTAATTTAATTTATAGTTAGGAAAATAATTCAAGAGAGATGCTAAATTAATATTTCCCCCCACAAGTATCCAAAGCAACAGTATGCGTCAAACAATCGAAATATGAGGTATGATATGCTTTCATAAGGCATCGGTAAACCTATGTGTATATATTTTTTGACATCCATTTTTGTTTAAAATTAAAAATAAATAAAAGAACTTTACAATAATCTAAAGGAGTAATCAGCTCCTGTCACTGAGCCGGCAAAGTTTCCGGCCGCCATGACAGATCCGACGAACCAAAACCTAGATCTGTATGATCAAACAATCCATCTATCGCCACGTATTCACCGTTGCTGATGTAATTACTAATATTAACATCGCCGTAACCATATTCATACTCAAACGACCCGTAGCTCGAGATCTGATCATCTAACCCCCATAACTCGCTGATTTCAACCGACTCAGCCAAAACTCTCGTCTTTTCCGATGCGGTTAGTGTGGTATCAGTATCCGTTGGAGGAAGTCCGAGTTCGTCATCCGATGCCTCGAAAAGAAATCCGAGTTCCGGCCGTGACTCGGAGGTCATTTCGGCAACAACCTCCGGCACCGGTGATATCTCGTCTTGAAAGCTCTTCATGAACAAATCAAGATCCTGAGTCACCGTGCACACATCGGAGTCATCGAGAATGTCGAGAAGGATGCGCTTGGCCTCGACTGAGTCCAGAACCGAACCGTCCGAGTCAGAACGGAGTCGCTTCTTGCCACTCAACGATTCCATGTCCATAGAAGAAAGCAAAGGGGTGTTTTGGGAATAAAGAAATGTAAATTGTGAGGAAATAGAAAAGGAGACAAAGAACGTTTGTGGAGTGAGAAAGGAGACGTGAGGCGTTTTATAGGGAGAGACAAAAGTTTGATTTTATTTTAAATAAATATTTAATTGAATTTTGTTTATGTCGATGACAGGGGCGCGTGGGGGCAGATACCTTGGCCATCACGATGTTTCAGGCTGCTTTTTTGAATTTTTGCTTAATATAAACAATATAATATTTGTCCCACCCTGTAATACTTTGTCGTTTAAATAAATATCTATGGAATATAATTAAACAACCAATCGACTTATTAATTTTAATGAATAAAAAATTCGAAAATCTCAAAGATGGTATCCGGCCGTAAAACGGCAAAACAGGCAATCCAACTAACAATGGAAAATGACATTTATAGTCTCGAAATTAATTTATTTATTTTTTATACTTTTTTTTTTTGCAAAAATTACAAAAAAAAATTATATATATATAATATAAGTTTAAAATAGAAATTTTTAAATTTCGCAACCGACGATGCTTCCCTCCCATGACCACCACCGACTGTGACGATATGATGCACCTCTAACTCGTGCCATCTTTCATTTCCATGTTTTCTTATTAAACAATATGTGCTTTTAAATCATTAAAATTTATATTTTTATGTTATAATTTTTAACAAACAAATTATAACTTTTTTTTAATGTTCTTTCATATTTTTTTGCAAAATTTCATATTAATTTTATATAACTAGATTGGTACTCATATAATGAATCGAGACATATCGCGATTTCAGTGTCTTGTTTTATTCTTTATCTATGTCGATATAATACAGTTTTATATGGTTTTGAAAAAACGATTACATTTTTATTTTTAAATAAAATATAAATTTTAAAATATTATAAAATTTTGAATTTTTTTTCGATATTAGTATTGAATTAACTATTTAAAGTTCTTGTTCTGTTTAATTTCTTTAATCCAATTTTTTTATTATAACTTAATTTTAAGTAGTTTAATTTAAGTTTAATAATATAATTTTTTATAAATAAAATAATTAAATATTATGTTACAACTTAATGATTATCCTACTTATATTTTAGATTTTTTGTATTTAAAATGAGATGTTTATCGTGTGTTTGATTATATTTATCTGCAGTTAGTTACACGAATTCAAATATGGAGCTTTAATAAGTTGTACTTATGCATAATTTACTTGTGATATTAAATTTTATGTAATATGCATCAATAAACAATATTTCGTGCATAAAAGATGATTTTTAATAGTTTTTGTCAAATATTTTATAATATAGTATAGATGATTGATGTCAAGACGACTTCAAAATACAAAAATATCAAAACAATTATATTTTTTATAACATTTGAAAATATATAATCTATTATATATTTTTGGTACAAGACCTCCACTTTAGGGTATGTCCTTGTCTTGCATTTGATCTCCCAGGTTAAATTGTTAGATGACCTCCGTAACCTTCTTTGTCCTCGTGACATCTGTATGTGACATTAATGAGATTGCACGCAGATTCTAGTATGCCGTGTAAAGTCTTATGGTAAATGATTTTGCATACAACAATAATCTTAATCAAAATTACGTTATTTTAATTAAAGTAATACATCACTATTAATATGTTTCTTTAACATATAACAATGTTAATCATCATAATTAACATCAATTCATACACTATTCATGTCACAAGACCAGAATCATGTGGTTATAACATGAACATTTTATTTCCATTTCATATCAAAATTCCCACCTTCTCGTACATGCATCATTTTAGTTTAATAACTATATATACACACATGTTACAACAGTTGCATCAATCATGCTACAAGTTAGAATTTTTTTACACCGGTTTGCTGAAATTCCAACATTGGGCTTGAACACTTTCTTTTTATCCATATTTTTCGTCCCTACACTATCTCCCTCTTATGGGTTCTCTGTGTAGCAAATAGGACTAACATCGAGAAATTAATTTCTCCCATGGGCTTTTCCAATTTGCTCAACCTTATCCTCCAACTTCATTTAAACGTATTCAACCATTGCTCCAATCTAACTTTTAAAGTTTCAGTTATTACATTTAAATACATGAATGTCGTTTTTGGGATCCTAATACCTTACCGTGTCTCTTTCGGTGTATTAAACACAAAAACATACACATACAAGCATGAGTACATGCATATGCTCGTGAGTTGATATACCAAAAAAAGAAGTCCGTACCATTATGAACTTATGAACGTTTCATGAGTTTGATATTCTATCGTAGACGTCTATGCGTCTTCTTTATGTCAACGTACTGTAGATTTTTTGAAAATAAACCATCGAACATGTTACTTTATATTAAAAAAAAAGTCAGAGAATGTTTAACAAGGAATATTAATATTTGAGGGTATGTAATGAAAATGAGAATGAGAATGAGAATGGATATTGGACCATTCCTTCAAAATTGGGGAGGGGGTGGGTAATGGGTATGAGTGTAAAGAATGTGATACCACATCCCATAACGTTTTTTATGGAATAAAAAAAAGTTCTATTTTTAAAATTGACTTGCCTTCTACCTATACTGTTGCCGGTCCCTGGTTTTGTCAAAAGCCAATAATTATTTTGGGCTCGTTTATCAAATGCTTATTTGAATAAGCGCTTGTCAAGTAACATTATCTCATCGGATAAATATGGTATGGATCAAGAATCTTACTTGGTAAAAACGAGAAAATGACCAAGAGTTTTACCCGGTAAGTGAAGACGACGACTCTTACCACGATAAGCGCTTACAGTGTAAATTGTTGCACACGATGTCGTTTTGGTGGACTAAATCTTACCCGGTAAGTAAATAATAGTGTTAAATTTTACCGGTAAACACTTACCAGTTAAATGTTTAGTAAATGTCTCCTTAGTTTACAAATATAAACATAAATAATTTTCTTTTAGTAACATGAAAAACAATATATTTAATATTTTATTAAATATTTCATTTGTATTTACTAAAATAGAAAAATGGTTATTTCGACCTCTAAAATTGATCGGAAATCGTTTATTATGGTAAAAATCATTAGAGGAAAATTCATAAAGAAAGCCAAATTAGCTTTCATATTTTGAGATATTAAGTTTTTGGACAATTACTAGCACAAATAAATTAGTCCACATAGGGTGTGTTTGGTATGCAGACGGCATGGGACGGGACGGAACAAAAAAAAATAGTCTCATGTTTGGCATGCCATGGACAGAAAATGCATAGGACAAGATGAGACTATTTTTAAATTTCATGGGACAAAACTTGTTCCACCAAAAAAAGTGAAACAACATGGGACTAAATATAAAATGACTATGTTACCCTTCTATTTTTGACTTTTCTTCTTGTATTTTCTGAAGTTTTTTTGGTTGAATCATCAGTTATTCTTGTTAGTTAATGGCGCTGCCAAAATGCCAATTCAATCTTCTTGAAATTGTAAAGGATTTTAACTTTGTGACTTAAATTGCTTAATTCTGATTTAACTTCTCAATAATTTCTTATTTAACTTTTGATAAAAAAAAAAATTCCGGCATGTTGAAGCCTGTTTGTTCTTTTAGCTTTTGTTTGTTATTTGGATGATTACTATGGGTAGCCCAATGTAACAATGATTTAAAATAACATTGAACAACATTTAGGGATAATATGGTCATTTTAACAGTTTTGTCCTGTTCTGTTCTAGTTGTACCAAACATAGGACAGACAATTAGTCTTGTCCCGTCCCGTTCTGTCCCGTTCCGTCCTGTCCCGTCTAGTCTGCGTACCAAACGCTACCATACTGAACAAATGACCCTTTTAACCTCGGTTATCACAATAAAAAATAATTATTACGTGACTTTTAAACTTAAAGGAAAAAATGGTCATGAAAGTCACCACCTTTACTTATGTTACCGGGTAACATTCTCGGCCATCAAAATGAATTGTTAGTAATGGTAACTGTGTATTGTTTGGTAACTGCTAACCGGGTAATAATCTTCTCCGTCTCTTGCGGGAAAACATTCTCAGGCATTTGCTAAGTCTTTTATCGGGTAAGATATTTGGTTTTTGTCATGCTCAACTGATAAAATAAACGATATCCGATAAACTCAATAAATTGTTACACGACAAATATTTGATCAGTGACCCCTTAACCGATCAAAATAGAAACCCTCTTCGAGTTTATCCTGATTTTTCCATCGTTTTATGTTTTCAGTGAATATTATGAATTGTTTGATATGAACTACTTACAAATTGAGGGGCGGATTTAGGGGCCGTTTACTAAACATTTATCCGGTAAGCGCTTACCGGTAAAATCTAACACTATCATTTACTTACCGGGTAAGATTTTAGTCCAATACGGCATCATATGCAACAATTTACCCGGTAAACGCTAACCATGGTAAGAGTTGTCATCCTCACTTACTGGGTAAGATTTTCGGTCCTTGCCTTCGCCTTTACCGGGTAAGATTTTTGATCTTCGCCATATTCATCCAGTAAGATAATGTGACTTGATAAATGCTTATTTGGGTAAGCGTTTGGTAAACAGCCCCTAATACATGAGGAAAGAAGGGGAGCCTTGAGTCAAAGTTAAATTTTTTTAAAGTAATAAGATAGCTTCTTTTTTACTCTTATTTGCTTAATTCACACGGTCACGTACAAAGGTTCTTCCAAGTTTGACCAAACTTTCCACTCTCTAATCATAATCATAATCATAAGAAGAGATCTTTATCTTTGGATCAATTCTAATGAGATGTATCTGATTAATTCATGTGAGAGGCAAAATGTAATTAATGGGATAGAGGTGAAATTAAAAGTGATCAAGATTCTAAATCTCTTCTTACGCTTCTCTCATTAACTCTTATTATCACATGATCTTTCGTCTCATGTTACAATGTTAACATTGGTTGATGTTTAGTTAAATTTATCTCAATTTATTGTTCTTTTGTTAGGTTTTGTAATTTGGTTAACTGATATCGTAAATAAATTGAAATCGAAACTTAATTTATTCGGTTAACTGAAACGTTTGACCCGCACTCCATATAAGCCGAAACAGT